TTGGACAAGCTACTTATTATTTTTGAATTTTAAGTTCCTCCTTGAAATAAAAGGAAGGTAATAATACTATGTCACAAACATTTAATTTGATAAGAAAATGAGATAATACAAAAATCACTATCTCACTATCCCTAACATATGGTATATTATGGTTACTAACTGATCAAATATTAATGAAAGTAAAACAAAAATTATAAAAGAATGGCAGAGGCCATGACACAACATGTCATGACACATTTTGAAGTGGTGGCCAATTTTTCCCCCTCACACGAATATTGGCCCAACTTTCCTAGTCCAAAGCAGGAGTCTTTGAATATGAAGTTTTATAGTTCAGAGGCAATTAACTTACTAAGAAAGCTTCAAAGAACCCTTCTTAGGAGGCTGTGTCTAGAACTTATTTTCAAAGTGCCCTATCTTACAAAGCTTAAACATTCAGCTTTTTTTTATTTCCAAATGAAGTGTCAAAACTGGCAAACTCATGCATGTAGAGTAACATTTTTATTTCGACTTGTTTTTCAAGAGTATACTTAATACACATTCCACCTTCGAAAACCACTAATCTAGGTGATGATGGGTAACAATTCATTCTATGTACCAAATTCCAAAAAAATGAGCATTGTTCTGTGAAACTAAGAAAGTTTCTGAAACATTCCCTTAGTCATTCAAGTATTCAAATTCAAAATTTATTCTAAAGAGTCATCATTATGATTTACACAAAGGCAGGTACAATGGCATTCAACAGCATTGACAAAGAGAAGTAGCTTGAAGGTTACTTGATAGTTGAAAATGTTGCCCCAGAACAGGAAGAGGAAACTTCCAAAAGGAGCCAGTTTTTTAGGTCCAAACTTCTAAGATACCTGATTACTCTTAAACATCCAAAGGAAGTTTCCTCTGTAATACAAGAAGGTCACTGTTCTTTTTCTTGTCCTCATCGCTAAGTGTGGTATTTTTGGCCAGCTCCATAAGGTGCATGAGCTGTGATGGTGCCTAATTTCTTGGCCCCTTCAATGAGGAACAACCGGTCATCAAAGAAGATGTGGGGCCGGATCTTCACCAAGATGGGACCTTTAGGGGCTCCCGCCAGAAAAAGAGCTTCGTCTATCTCTAGACCCCAGCGGCGAAGAGTCTTCAGCATCCGGGCCCCTGAGCCGGCTGCGCTCCGGGCTGTAACCAGGTAGGTCCTGATAGGACACAGTAACCGTTCATCCTTGGCATAAAACTTCTTTTGTAGTCTGCCTAAATCTTCCAGAAAGCCTTTCAGGGGACTCTGAACAAGGGGCTTATTCTCAGAGAGTGTTTCGTGTTGGAAGAATTTGTCCCGCCTGTGCTCTTTGGCAGTCTGTTCCGACTCACCAGAGAAGAAGACGGCGTCCCCGTCCACCGCCACACGGAGCTGTATGTCGCAGTAAGGCAGGTCTTTGGCCCCATCAAACATGGTTGCGGCGGCAATACCTTCTTGTATGGCTTCTTGGACTTTTTCAAAATCCGCAGAAAGATACAAGTTGGTGAGATAGGCCTTCAGGTAGCCAATGGGACTTTTTCCACCGGTGAAACAGAAGCGGTCAATTAGCAGGCCATAGTGATTGACGCTGTTAATCAGGCGCACCCCCACCTGGGCGTGGTTATTCGTCATCAGTACGATATCGAATAACTCCTGATCGTGAGGATACAGATCTCGGAGTCTAGCATTGACATGCTGCAGGGCCTTGACGAAGCGGAACGCGGGCCCGGGCGTCAGGATGACGTTCTCGTTGGTGAGCTGGTATTCCATGTACTTTTCCAGACCTTCTTCCTCGTAGATTCTCCTGTCATCCATCATGTTGAAGAGTGCCCGAGATGACACGGCGATGGTGATGGCCTTCTTGGGTCTGGGCTCGTCTTCCTCCTGCAGCTTCTGCTGTTGCATTTCGAACATACAGTCGACGTCCATCTGGATGGAGGTAGGGTAAGGGGTGCGATGCTGATGCTGGGGATAGACCTTCCACTCCATGGGAGTCGGGCGCGAATATTCCCGCGGCTGCCCGTGGTGCGAGTCTCGGGATTCGCAGCTGTGCGCGTCCGGCGACAGGGAGCTCCGGTTGTCGCGGACATCACGGCCCAGGTTTTGAGCCCAGGTTTCGGGATGCTCATACTTCTTGCGCCGGTTGCTGGACTCCGGTTCCGGCGGCGTGGGAGGCTGCGATTCGAGAGACATATCTGACTCTGGCTGCGTTTTGGGCATTGGTGAAGAGGGTTCTGGCGAAGCCTGTGGTGGTGGAGAGTCCTCCTGGCTGGGGGAAGCAGATGAAGTTCGGGAGGTGATGGAGCTGTTTTGGAGCTTAAGACTGGTGTTCCTTCTTCTGGACTCGTCTACTGATAGAGGCTTGGTGGATGGGCTCCGAGATGTCCTAGACCACTGATTTTATACAGCACTTGCTCGAGAGTCTGGCTTCCCCAAGGTTTCTTGGGATCCCCTCATCATGATGATCTTCCGGCCCTGCTCCCACAGCAGGCACACGTGAATATAAATACGTATTGTGCGGCAGGGGCTAGCTCCCTCAACTGCACAAAGGCAGCGTCTACACGACGGGTGACCCCGCCTGGGGCAACATCTCAGCACTGGGCAACATCTCAGCGGGTGATTCAGATAGACTTCATGCCTCACCTGATTTCTTAGCTGAACTCCTGACTTTTCAGTTTCCTTTCATTTTTCTCCTTCTAGACTCTCTTTTGATTGCCTCATCCTATTCTCATTCTTTAAATCTGGGCCTGCTTTGTGATTGGTTCAACCAGAACAATCCTGGGGAAGTACCATTCTGTGCATTCTAGAACCCAGAGCTCTGAAGGCTTGCAGAGACTGTCATTATCGTTCTGGAACGCTGCTACCCTGAGGGTGGGTTGAAAACTTCATAGCTTTGACACTTAAGGATAATTCGTCTTTGAGCCACAATTCTTCGTTTTCAGTCTTCTACGTTCATCCACAATAATAAGTCAATCTGGCATCCACGCCACATCAGTGGCTGCACCTGGGAGCTCAGTGTGTTCAGGAGGACGTGTCTCACAGAAGCTGTCTGCCCTGATGCTTCCTCCACCCAGAATTCCCAGGTGGTGTGCTCACCTCCTTGAGACTAGCAATATTTTGTTGAGAAAAGAAATAGCTTCGTAGATAGTTTGGGCTTTACGAATTAGTGCTACCTCTTCTTACGTGCCTCTGCAAGATGCATAACCTCGCATGCTGTAACCTTATTGGTAAAAAAGGAATGATAATAACAGCAGCTTTGGCGGGTGCTCAGCGCAGACGGGAAGGAGGAGCCGCGCAGGCGCTCTGCGCCAAGATAATGATTTATGTCTTAAATTTTATTCTTTAGAGCAACTTGCCTTAAGGGAACTTAGGGTTTGAACAACTCTGGTTAAACAACAATAATGTTACACTACATTGTAGAGTCTGCTATTTTAGAGTATTATACTACATTATAGAGTCTAATTTTTTCTTTAAAAGCTAAAGTTTGTTAATATAAAAACATCAGTGTAATTGTGGTACTGTTACTGGCTTCTTTGTGTATTAGATATTTCATATCTTTTGAGTACGCAAGTCTTTAAAGTATAAGGTTTAGAAGAACATTTTACCAAGTTGCTGTTCTTCAAACTAAAGTTTGAAGTAAAGATTTGGGATTGTAGCTGGGTGCAGTGGTGCATGCCCCTCCTAAATTCATCCACCTGGAACATCATAATATGACCTTATTTGGAAATAGTCTTTACAGCTGTAATTAAGTTAAGATGAAGTTATAATGGATTAATGGACTCTAAATCCAATGACTGGTGTCCTTGGAAGAGAGGAGGACACATGTTATTATAAAGAGGGCCACGTAAAGATGAGCCACAGAGTGAAGTGATGGGGGCGACTAGCCAAGGAGCATCAGAAGCTGCACTAGGCAAGGAAGGATTTTCCCCTGAAACCTGGGAGGAAATGGTAGCCTCTGGCACCTTGATTCAGACTCTGTGTTGACTTCACAGAGTGGCCCTTCAGGTGTGACACAATAAGAAAAAGTAGTTTTAAGCATAAATACATTTTTGAGCATCCATTACATGCCAGACATTTTGCTAAGAATACTTATACTCACACCCACACACCTACATTTATATATGAATACATATATGCATACACATATTTATCTATTATGCATATGTCTATATACATATATTATTATTTTAAAATTATGGTAAAATACATGTACATGAAATTTACCATCTTAACCATTAATTGTATAGTTCAGTAGTACTAAGTCCATTCACACTGTTATGCAACCATTACCACCATCTTAGAACATTTTTCATCTTGCAAAACAAAGATTTTTGAGTCTCTGAAACAATGACTTCTCATTCCTTCCTCCCTCTAGCTCTTGGCAACCACCAATCTGCCTCTATGATTTTGACTGCTCCAAATACCTCATATAAATGAAATCATACAGTATTTGTACTTTCTATGACTGAAATATATGTGTATGTGTGTGTATATATATATATATATAAAATTTAGCTATATATATGTATATATGTATATATATTCAGGTGCACATAGATATTTAAATACATAACACACACATATAAAACTTAAAAATTTCAATTCAATCTTACAATGAGGATATTATGTCCGCCTAATTGACGAGCTGCTTGGGGCCAGGGGAGGTGGTGTGTAGGTAACATGATGCCTGCTATGGCTGCCTGGCACCATTGGTAGGTATGGTCTTCATTTTCATGCCCTCACAAGAGCATAGAAGAATTCTCCCAGGGTATGGGTTCAGTGGAACAACACTATATAGCCCATTCTGACCCCTTTCAACCAGCCAGACTTGCAAGGGCTCACCTCATTGTCTCGGTCTTTCTCCAGGAAATGGCGGGCCACGTGACTGGGTAAGATGTTCCGGAGCATGTTCTCATTGTGTTCCCTCAGCTCCTTCATCTCGTTGATCTCCTCTTTGGCCTGTACTCGCCAGAGGAAGTCCAGGCGAGCTGTGTATTCCAGCTGCAGTTCATGGGAGACAAAGAGAGGCAGCTGAGGAACTTGGGGAGTACGGGCTCCAGCCACACACATCTGGAGGTGGGCCAGGATCTAGCACTCTTCAGAAAGAAAACAGCCTGCCTAAGTGATGGGAGGCATTGACTGCCCCCAAGCCATCAGAGAATGATTAGGTCCCTCGGACTGTGCGCCTACCTCTCAGTCTCATTGCACCTGTGTTTTTATACTCATTTGTGGGATTTTAGATCATATCTGAGCCCTCTCTTAGACCACAGGTGCTGTGCAGTCACGGTCCTGTCACCTGTTCATTTGTCACATCCTTACTGCTGGGTACTGAATGATTGTGCCCTCCCCCTCTTCCTATGGATGCTCTGACTCAGGAGGTGATGATATTTGGAGATGGAACTTTTGGGAGGTGAGTAGGGCTAGATGAGGTCATGAGGATGGGCCCTTGTGATGGAGTTACTGCCTGTACTGGAAGGGACGGGACAGAGTCTGCTTTTCTCTCTCCATGAGCACCCATTAAGACAGGACCATAGGACAACACAGCAAGAAGGTGGTCATCTGCAAGCCAGAAAGAGCCTTTACCCGGAACCAAAATCTGCTGGACCAGGATCTTAGACTTTACCGCTTCCAGAGCTATGAGAAGCAAATTTCTGCTAGGTCTACCCATCTGAGGTATTGGTTGGGGCAGCCTGAGCTGACTGGCAGCTTGACGTGTCCAGCACAGAGCATGTGCTCTATCCGTATTGGTTGGTTTGGTTTGACAAATATGTTAGAATCCTAAAACTAACCAGTGCTTGAGTGGAACTTATTATGTCTCTGGCTTTTTTTCTAAGCAATATTGAAACAGTAGGTCCTTTAATCCAAGCAGCAACCCCAATAGTATGATATTATTTTCAATCCTTCTTTGTCAGATGAAAAAAAATCAAGCTAACATAGTTACGTAACTTGATAAGTTCACACCCAGTTAGTGGAGAAGCCAGAATTTGAACTTAATTCCAAAACTGGGCACAGAGTGTGTTCTTGATCACTAAACAATAAGGAAGAAATGAATGAACTATTATAGTAAGATGATCATGGATTTGGTGTCAGACACATATGGCATAGAGCTCTGGTTCCACATTTGCCACTATAACCCAAGACAAGTAGTGACTTTTCTGTTTCCTCATCTATGAACTTGAGATGCTGTTGATGAACCACCTGGGGGTGGATGTGAACTACTTAGGAAGTTAAAGGTAAACAACTTACTCTCGGCACTCTTAGTTAGTTAGTTCTGTCCCATCCTGTTCTGGTTTCCCTGTGCATAAGAATTTTCTTTACAGAGCAACACTCAAGCCATTTTTATCACAACTTCAGGGATATATTTTTTTCAAAATCTTTAACCATTAAAATGAACAGTCTACTACATGTAGTTAGATGTCCTAAATTCAAGGGCTTATGACTAGTTGCTTTGCTATGTCTTACTTTAGAATCTCCTAGCAGATAACAACAGTATAAAAGACAGGCACAGGTTATTTATTCAATAATAGCAGAAGCTGAAACAATCCAAATGTTCATTTTGTTGATTGAACAAACCATAGCACATATATACAACAGGACACAGTGCAGCTATAAATAGGAAGAGTGATTCTCTATACTTTGATGAGCTGTTCTCTAAGGGAGAAATGAATGTATTATGTGCTATCACTTGTCTAAAAAAGGAAAGTTTCTCTCTTTCTCTCTCTCTCTCTTTCTCTCTTTCTCTCTTTCTCTCTCTCTCCTCTTACACACACATTAATCTGTCTTAATTTGTTTACTGAAAAACTAAAGTGAAAACCATAAAAAGCTGTTATCTACTAGATGAGAGAGGGATCAGGAAACAGGATGGAGGAATAAAGCTAGAATCTGAACTTAAAATTCTATCTTGTTTTGAGTCAACTTTAAAATCATGGAAAATTTTTTACTTAATTATAAAACTAAATAGATTTTAAAAGTGTCTGTAAAAGTAAACAAGTAAATAATGAACCTTCATCTCTAACCCATGGAGAGAAAATACGTATGCCTGATGCTTTTTTAAACAATAATTTGATGGCCCATTCCTAGATGAAAATACCCTAAGGATAAAAAGAATTCCAATAAAAAGTTAAAACGTGTTACAATAATCGTAGGTGGTAATATTTGCATTAGTATTCTTAGACTATTGTACAATAAAGCAAATGGACAATTGTGTTGTTGTCATTGAAAACTGGAATTCTGGGGAACAGGAAATAGCTGCAGAAGTAAATCTGGTGATATTAAAAAAGCCGTAGGTCCTCAATAAGAAAACACGGATCACTGTGAACTTGAGTTGTGTGCGTTTCCTAGCTCTTCCCACTGAAATCAAGGCCCAGAAGAGAATGGAAACCTAGCAGCAACAATGGGCACCCAGAGCTTCCAGACTGTGATTTCTTAATATTGGTTTCTATAAAAATAATCCTTACTCTTTCCAGAAGTGGTTCAGTTTTAGGACAGAAAATTTAAAAATCTAGAATATTTTTTTTCATGCCATAAACAAGGAATCTCTCTGAGACTACAAACTCCGGTAGTAAAACGGATCTAAAAGCCAGCTTGCATAGGCTTCCAGTTGTCAAAGGTGTGAGAAATTAGGCTTTACTAAGAATAATAATTGCAATGGATGGGAACACCAGAAATACACTAAAATGCATAAATTCAGAGTGGCACTTAAAAAGACAAAATCTCATCCATCGCTTCTGAATGGTGCTAGGGAACAAATTTATCAGGGAACTCATAGGAACCAAACTCATAGGTAAAGAATTCAGCATTTATCATCGTTTCATGACTTGTATTTCCAGGTAAGAGTTGGTGAGATGGTTCTTTTAAATAATGTATTCCAGCTAATAAATTATGGACTACTGATAGGATTAGAATGTCACTATCTAGTGAACAGATGAATACAGGCTATTACCAGTAGCTGCTAATATCACAAAAAGAGAGACAAGGAGACACTATCCATCTTCTAATTATAGTTAAATATTTTTGCAGGAAAAAAATGAAACCAAATCTCATCAAGTTTCTAGATATAACAACCAATTCAAGATAAACCTATGAGAGGAAAGTGTTAAATAACTTTAGGGGTTGCAGTGGACAAACTCTGAACTAGGAGGACTTCTACATGCCCACTGGCCCTCACAGAATACTGCAAAAAAAAAAAAAAAGATGGAGGTTGATCCTGCAGATTTAAAGATGTATCAGCCAATGGCAATACACAGACTTTATCTGGATTTCCATTCCAATAAACAAACTTAAAAGATACAATTATAAGTTAACCAAGAAATGGAAACATGGCTTAGAGATTTGACAATATAAATGAATTGTGGTTTTCGTTTTACAAGTGTATTCTTTTAATTGTGATCAGGTTAAAAAAAAATCTCACTTTAGACACATATTGAAGTCCTTACAGATGAATGATAGAAGGGAAGAGGTCAAGGGGCCAAATAAATAGGGATACAGATGTAACGAGGCTGGATGTGAGTCAATGTGACCTCGGACATGCTTTTATGTGTTCTTGTATGTTTTTGAAATTTCCCACACCACCTCCCCCGCAAAATAATCATGAGCAGAGGCAGCGGCTTGTTCACAAGAATGCTAGTCCTGGGTGTTCCACCAGGTAGCTGGGTGGCCTTGGTAAATTCATTCCGCTTGTTGGTTTCCTTTCCCATGACTAAGGCTGATGGCCCTTAGCCTGTCTAATTTGAGATATGGATTATTATATGGAACTATTATTGGGACCAAGTGACATGATGCACACAAAGGCCATCTGAAATGTCTAAAATATGATTGCAAGGTGTTCCTATAATTTAAGGCATCTGTGGATGAAATGAGATCAAAAGCTCTGCTTTGATCATTTTCTCTTCCAGATTCAAGAGCATCGGTTTTGACTTCTATGTTTGCAGCACAGCATTTTCTCACCCATAACTATTTCCCAATGAAATGCTTTTTTTTTTTTCCCCATTAAACATGCATGCTTATGGGGCTGGGGTTGTGGCTCAGTGGTAAAGCGCTTGCTTAGCATGCGTAAGGCGCTGGATTCGATTTTGGACACCACATACAAATAAATAAAATAAAAGTCCATCAACAACTAAAAAATATTTAAAAAACAATGCATGCTTGGTCGAAGTAGGAGGTACTTGTTTATTTCTGTCCTATTGAAGTGCCCTGATGTAAAGGAATTCAACTCGGAAATATGAATAGGGAAATATGGAGGCCTGGGTTTCACCTAAGCAAGAATTTTCCAGTTATAAGAACACTGTTTACTTTTCAGCCTGGTGACTGAAGGTAGATGCATTGAATGCAGGTGCACAGAGACCATGCTGTCCAAGCGCAGACAGCGTCAGGAAGGCAGGTGCCAGCTGGTATTAAAGCTCCACACAAGGTAGGCTTTCCTCTTCCATTTACTAAATAAAGGTCAAGTACACCTACAACCTGCTGGATGCCAGGCAGAGGAAGATGAGTGAAACAGTCTCTGCCTCTGTTTACACATAGCTGAGTGGTGGCTGGAGGGCACCAAAGGAAACTTCAACACCAAAGTGATCACTTCAACACAGTGCAGTTAGTGTGTGGACATGGAGAGAAAAAAAAACATAAGGGAGACATGGACACTGGTATTTTAAAAGTAAAATTTCTTTAGCATTTGCTCAAAAATATCATTTGAATGGAAGGGCACGCTCTTTCCTGATTTGCATGCAGTCATCGAGGAACTGGCCACATGAAAAAGGTGCCAAGCAATAAATTCGTATTGTTGCAGGCTTTTCACATCATGACAGCCACTGCTGGCGGAGCCCCTGCCTTGCTCAGGCTCCGTTGCAGGCACTTCATGGCATTCAAGCTCATTCAGTCCCCTGACAGCTCACGGAGGCAGGCGCTTCATTATCTCCATTTCACAGGTGAGGGAGTGGGCATGGTAAGGTTGAGGCAATTTCCTAAGGTCTCAGAAGTAGTGGCTTTGAATCCAGGGCATTTTGACTCTGAGCTGTGACTCTTAACTCCTATACTGTATGGAATGACCTCTTTCAGCAGGTCGCTAACTCTGACAGATGACTTATCATTGCACTTTACAGATAAGAGAAAAATGACAGCTCTGGGAAGTTGTGTCTCAAGGTCACTCACGCTCCAAATGGCATTGCTGGAACTCAAGCAAGAATATTAGGTTCCACAATATTAATGTAGATAATAACCAAACTCTGTTGAATTATTTCATTGGAATTTATGATTTTCAAAGAGAGGATATGGGAATATATATCTAAGGAAGGCAAAGCTAATACATGATGTTTAAAATGAATAAATCCAAAATAGCAATATAACATAATCGTGCTCTATGGCAATAAATATCAGAAGACTAAACATGGTTACTTAGGGGGTTCGAAAGGTCAAGGGATGGTTGGACAAGAATAGTCTTTTCCTATACATCTTTTATTATTTCTTAATGACTTTCTAAATTCCTTTATATATTACCATAGTATATGACAATGATGACCAATAATATATGTACACATCAAAGTGTATATA